ATAATATATATAAAGTTTCCTGTGTAGGTGTAGGTGTACATCAATACAAATAAGAACGTGAATATAAATATACAAATGTGTATAAATATATATACACAAATGTATGTAAACATATATTATTTAAATGTCCTTCTTAATGGTTAATTTAGTTCTTTCTTATTTTTTTATGGCGATTGGCGTTATGAATGCCTTTTGTTAGTCATAAGAGGGAGGACTTTTTTTTCCTTTTTTTAACGTACCTTTTATTTTACTTGTTATTAATTTATTTAACTAATTTGTTGTTCCTTTATCGCCTCTTGGAGTTCTAATTGTGTTAGGGTTTGCTGCTTACGCAGGAAATGCATTTATGCAGTTAGCTAGGAACAATGTAGCAGCAACGAACCATCCTAAACCCTAAACCCTCTTAAACCCTAAACCATCCTAAACCCTAGACCCTACTGATCAATTCAGCCCGTTTTGCTGCATGCACGAATGTTGGTTGACGAATGGTACTAGTTGCAACAGTAAATGGTTTGCTGCTAGGAAACAGACGAGTTCCAGGTGCTGCTGTTGCTGCTGCAGCTGCAACCGCACCAGCATCAACAAACGCAGGCCGTTGGATAGACACAGACTAACGGAGGCTTCCATGAGTAGAAAGCAAAAAGAAAATGATGATTAATTGATTTAATAGCATTTAATCACTATTTCCTTGGTGTATACAACAAAGAAGACAAAGAATACGATTTATTGCTTACAACAAATATCCTTTAATAGGCAAATAATAAAGAAATGAGAGATGTATTTGTATAAAAAGGGGAAATGCATGCAGCCTGCCTCAATGTATTTAATGAACTGCAAGTTTTCCTTCATTTATCTTCTTAATTTCAATATTCATTCAGTGAATCTAATAATTCAAAGTAATTATTACACCTGTATGCTTAAGTATAATTATAGATAATTATAACAAGTAAATATAATAATACTATGCTTATTCATAATGAAAAAAACGTACAAAAAGGCATGCGTACTAGCATATACATAAGCTTTCCGCCTTCAATAACAAGTAAACTTGGGACTGTATGCACGTATTATCCTTGCGAGCCGTTCCAAAACTAGAAAAAGGAACTCCTTCCCTTCAAGTTTATGCATGCTTTATGCATAAATAAATATACATGCAGTATGAATAAACAAATGCATAATGCTTGAATTTCCTATCTTTCTATTTGATTAACCCTTAGAGTAGATCGTAGTTCCCTATGTCTGTGGCGACTAATACGCGGTTTGCAACCAGATATAAGTGTCTTAGCAACAATTTAAATTATAAATTAAATAAATAATCGTAGTTACCCTTCTAAGGAGGTTGTGACTTCATTGTAGAGGTATTTATTGCCTGTATCCATGTTCGTGCTAGGGGTGATGTGCTGCAGACAATTAAAAGTATGGTATGCCCCCAAGAAGAAGACTCTTCTCGTTTTTCTTATAACAAATTTAAACATTTATTAATAAAATTATTTATTTAATGCCACATTTGCCGTTTTAATTGATCCTACTTTAAGTAAAACTTGCCACGCATGCAGCAAAGCAATGCGAATCACCATAATCTACCTGACGGGGGAAGAAAATCCTGCTAGACAGCAAACATATCCTCAAATACCACCCCTGTATATGCTGTTAGGTTCTATTCTTTAAACTTTTTATTAGGATATTGTTAAAACTTTTTTACGACTTCCTAAGGTCTGCTCCGTGCGCCTTTGACGCCTATTGCTGTGTGCCACAGGCAGCGTATAGAGCACCACCGCTAATCCTATCATACGCCGTATATTAACACAATATTCAGAGGTTTTTCTACGAAGAACAAAAACAAAGAATAAAACAACTAATAATATAAATTATATATTTTTTGCATCAAATAGGAGGGCAGAGTGTAGGAAGGGCGGTCGAGCGCCTCCTGGAGATGCTGTCCCTGGGTGACCCACTACTAACTCTTGAAGTGCAGATGTATCATAAAACAATCAATCATCATATAGAATCAAAAAGAAAACGGGGACATATTTTGTGTTTATCTATAACAATGGCTACTAGAAACGCTGTATCCCCCTCCCCCCCCCCTCCCCCCCA